TGATTGCGTAAGCTCGGGCACATGACCGATCCGATTTTGTCTTCATGTGAAAGAGAAAGAGTGGGCTAAAAGTACAGACAGTTTACCGGATTCGAAGGAGACTACATCGGAAACAACGTCAACAAAAATGTTTGAGTAACATCAATTCTCTGTCGTCTTCTGGTGGGATAGACCTTCGAATCTATTCACCAAACACTTTTACTCGAAAATGAAGTAGGCTCAACAATTACAAAGCCCTATACTCCTCGAAACCCAACCATTCTTCGCAGTGTCATTTCTGCCTGGTCTGGGAAAACTCCACACTCCAAGGAAGTGGAGGAATAGGCCTTTGAGATAACTGGTGAGTGAGAACTAACTGCAAAATCCTGCTTTTTCTTCCATTTCTATTAGGTTTCCAGATTCGTTATTAGTGGAGAAAAAAGACTCGAAACTCGTACACCTTGCCGGCAATTGCATATTTGTATTCCAGATGAAACAGATCATGCCTGGTCGCCCACTAACCGGCACTAAAGGTCTATGGTGTTGGTTGCTATGAGAATCCACTTCATCGCTTCATCCATCCCGCAGTGCGATTCAAATGGGATCTTTTTGGGTTCATTGGCAGACTCATTGCCCCTCAAATCACACTTCCGTAGCCAAACTGACTGCCAATTTCAATTCACAGATGTGGTTGGATGGCCTGTATATTCGAATATCTTCTGATGCCATAATCAGACTTGAGTGTACCAACTATTCTTCGACTCATTATGTTTCAACTATTCCATTCCCTTGGCTGCTAAGTGCCCATAAGAACAAATCAAACTTCAATTAGTGACGATTAAAGTTTGCTGGACGAATCCGCTTGTTTCCTAGTCTGATCGCTCAAACGTGCACTCACTTCTGATAAGTGGCATTGAAAAAGGTATGTATGACTATCGGAAAACAGAATCGTTGGTATGAATGTAAAACATTTGTTGAAACCTGATACAGGTGAGTTTGGCCAGTCTCAAGCAAGTTTCCCCCTGCCAACCAAAATTGCAACAGATAATATC